GTCCTTTAGATGGAGCGGGGTGTGGGGCAGTGAACCCCCTAAGGCAACACTTCTGTCTGTGTCTCTGATCGAACGCTGGGGTGCTGCTGGGTGTCGTGTCAGCTCGAATCAGAGCAGCACCCCCAGACGGCACCCTCGCCCGATCCCGCCTCCTGCTCCCAACCTCTGCTCTGTTCCAGCCACTGCTGCAGCCACTGCACCACCCCATCCCTTAAAGAGTCTTCTTTTCAGTAGCCTTGTATTCTTGTGTTCTCTAGGGACTGGCCTTCCTGATAACAGGCCAGCAATACGTGGAAGCGAGTCACACCAGCCGCTTCAGAGAAACACCCCGGCAGAACTTCTTCCAGAACAGATTTGTTTACTATTTTTCCTGTCAGGACTACTGGTTGTTGTTGTTGTTGTTGTCGTTAGGTACCATCGAGTCAAGGATGACTCATAATGACCCTATGAATAAAAGATCGGAATCCTATCCTGTCCTGTGCCATCCTCACACTTCCTGACACACAGGAGCCCACTGCAGCAGTCACCTTGTCAGTCCACCTGGTTGAGGGTCTTCCTCTCCTCTACTGACGCTCCACCCTTCCCAGCATCATGTCCTTCTCCAAGGAACAGCCCCTCCTAGCAACATGCCCAAAGCATGTGAGGCGAAGCCTCATCATTCTAGCCTCCAAAGAGCACTCTGGCTGCACCCTCTTCAAGACACGTCTGTTTGTTCTCTTGGCCGTCATGGGATGGCCAGTGCTCTTCTCCAACACCACAGCTCAAAGGCATCAATTCTTTTACTTTCATCTTTATTCATTGTCCAGGTCTCAGATGCATAGCAAGTGGAAGGAAAGACCATGTCCTGAATCAGACCTACCTTAGTCCTCAAACTGACATCACTACTCCTCAATAATTTGGAAAGGTCCCTAACTGCAGATTTTCCCATTGCAAAGCATCTCCTTATTTCCTGACTACTTATACCAAGGGTTAATTGTGGATCCAAGTAAGATGAAGCTGTTGACAGTTTCAATCTCCTCTCCATCCATCAGGATGCTGCCTGTTATCAAGTGGTAAGAATCTTGTTGTTATTTTATATTGACTACATAGTATTAAACATATTCAATACTCTTTGCCAACACCACAATTCAAAGGCATCTATTGATCTTCTGCCATCTTTATTCACAGTCCAACTTTCATATGCACAGGAAGTACTGAAAATACCATGGCCTGGATCTGGTGCACCTTAGTCTCTGAGCTGACATCTTTACTCTTCAGCACTCTGGAGAAGTTTTGGCAACAGACTTACCCAATGCAACTATGCTTTTGATGTCTTGACTGTGGCGACCATTGATTTCAATTGTGGGTCCAAGTAAATAAAATCCTTGACATAGTCAATCTTACCTCCATCCATCGTGATGTCCCTACCGATCTGGTTGTGAAGATTTCTGTTTTCTTGACATTGAGGGGTAACCTATTTTGAAGGCTGTAGTCTTTGATCTGTTTCAGAAGTGCTTCAAGTCCTCTTCACTTTCAGCAAACAGTTAAAATGGTAGACTGGATGTGTTGTTAAGTGCCATCGAGTCATAGGCAACTCATAGTCACCCTATGAACAAAAGACCTGAACGCTTGTATAACTTTCATCGTTTCTCCAGGTTCATAGCGTTTCCAGAGGCAAGCTATATCGGAAGTGGATGCCACTCCTGCTTCCAAGCTTGTTTTAATTGGGGAGCTCCACCAAACACTGTCCACCATGAGTAACTATTATTGCATTTGACACATCAGTGCCACAGTGTTCACCTTCACAGCAACCATAGATTTCTTTTTGTTGTAGTTTTTGTTAAACTTTGCACACACACAGACACCACTCACTCCTCATTATACTCCAAATGTGGCAGCAATTGCTTTACAAAATTAATATGTGGACTTTCAAAACTTTATGAGGGAAGTGTCCATCTTATCCCAGCCCTGCAGATGAGGAAACTGAGGCATAGAGAGGTTCTGATAAGTTTCCAGGATTACACAGCAAGCAGACAGAACTTGGAGCTAAGACTCTATGATGTGTGGGGTGACCTCATTAGTTTGAAGTTTCAGCAAGTCCTTTTCACTTGTGGAGGTGGAGTCATGCAAATTAGGTGGATGGAGTCCTAATGAGCTGATTGGCCAGTTTTACCCTTCTGCTAGGCTTAAAGGAGAGCCAATTCCCCAACTGAGATCATGTGACCATTTAGACTCTGCAGCAAACTGTTGCTGTTATGTGCCATCAAGTCACTTGCGACTCATAGCATCCCTATGTACAAGAGCTCTAAATGCCGTTCTATCCTGTGCCAACCTCGCCGTCTCAAACACACTCATTCCCACCACCCCAATCACAGAATCGATCCATCTCATCGAGGGTCTTCCTCTCTTGCGCCGTCCCTCCACCCTCCCAAACATGATGTCCCTCTCCAGTCCTTCTTTGCAACACGTCCAAAGTATGTCAGATGAAGCTTCAGAATCCTTGACTCCAAGAAGCATTCCGGCTTCACCTTCTCCAGGACAAACCTGTTTGTTCTCCTAGCAGTCCATGGTATATTCAACACTCTTCTCCAGCACCACAGCTCGAAGGCATCAGTTCTCCTTCTATCAACCCTAGTCACTGTCCAACTCTCCGATGCAAAGCACGTAATTGCGAAGACTATAGCCCGGATCAGGCGCATTTTAGTCTCTAGCCTGACGTCATTGCTCTTCAGTACTCTTGAGAGGTCCCTCACAGCTGACTGTCCCAATGCAATTTGTCTCTTGATTTCCTGGCTGCTGTTACCAAGAGTGTTGACTGTGGAGCCAAGCAAACTAAAACTGTTAACTCTTTCAATCTCTTCACTATCCATCCTGATGCTGCCAATTAGACCAGTGGTGAGAATCTTTGTCTTCTTGACATTGAGCTTCAATCCATATTGAAGTCTGTAGTCATTGACCTTCTGCAGCAAGAGCGTCAGGTCCTCCTCAGTTTCAGCGAGCAGGGTTGTGTCATCTGCATAACGCAGGTTGTTGATGATTGTTCCACCAATCCTGATGCCGCATTCCTCCTGCAAGTTAGGGATTCCAAAGACGAAGGAAGAGTGATGCGGAGGGCAGCGGCTGACGGTGGTGCACGGAACAGCACAGCAGCGGGGAACTGCACATCCGGGATACCTTTAATCTCTGCCTCAGAGGACACAGCTTTGTCATGATCCTCCTAAAACAGATCGCTCACTCAATTGGTGTCCAAAAGTCCTGCTTCCACAGTGGGACAGACTCAAAGTCACATGGCAAATAAGTGACGGGCAGACTCCTGAATTTCTGCAGTCATCGCCACCAAGGCCCCGAGGGCCAAGTGTATGAGCGGGAGGAGTCCTGAGCCACAAACCAGCTCGAGTCAGATGACAAGTGGAGTGCAGGGTAGGAGGACAGAGGACAGACAGCAGGACGGAGGACAGACATCAGAAAAGAGGACAGACAGCAGGACGGGGGACAGACAGCAGGACGGAGGACAGACAGCAGGACGGAGGACAGACAGCAGAAAAGAGGACAGACATCAGAAAAGA